GTAGGTTCCCTCTCCATATGCTGTTGCTGTAAGTTATAAGAAAATAAATATCAAAAAGCAGTATATCTAACTTTATGGCTGAATAGATTTTCTCTTTTGTCTGAGTTTTTCTTTTCTTTTTGCTTTCAGTGTCAATATCTGGGACTTAATTCTTAGTCTTTCATATAAAAAGGTTTTTTACCATTTTGCCCAGAGAAGCGCCTGTTGAAGCCAGTTGTCATGATAGAGTTACAGTTGTCCTGCGTCGTCCCATGATACAGAAACTTCTCATTTGCACCCCCCTCATGTTTGTTCTTCTGCGATATTTGTTTCTTTTGTACCTCGTAAGCACGACGTAGATGAATGTTCTGCAAACGATCAATCTACCAGAATAAACAGAGAAAAGCTGTTAAATCACCCTTCAGAATAACTGGAACCTCTACTGAAGATGCTGTTACGGTTTCAGAAATACAACTTTCATGTTAGGCATTAGATTATGGCTGTGCTTTCACGAAGCCCATACCGCTGATGTCACACCACTAGGACACAGTGTATGTAAGCAGTTCACACAAATATGTCTTCCCCCTGTACTTGACATTGGTTTGATGCAAGGAGAGGCCCAACACTCCAGCTGGACATCATATTACCTGTGGTGCAATCCCAGGAACCATGGTCTGTTTTTCCTGCCAACAAAAACTATATCCTTCTTCAAAAAAGAAGCTTTGAGCTGAAAACCAGCTGCAAGCTGATCCCATGAACCCAGCTGGCCGCTGCCACTGCCTGTGTTCACCGCCTGGTGAACACAGGCAGTGTCTTGCACGGTCTTGCTTTCCTTTTTTATTACCATGCTTTCTGGAACCTTTATTACACAATCTATGACTTCCTGATTATCTGAGCTATAAATACGGCCTGCCACACAGCCCTATTTATATAAGCCACACTCTTCAAAGGGAAATTTGAACTTCAATCAAATTTAGAGCAAAGGTGGTTCAATATAAAATATTTTAAATGTCAATGTGAGATGAATCCTAAAATTTTATTATACATATAACTGAATCTTAAAAGAGAAACGGATAGAAACTGCTTAAAATGGTCATAACATAACATTCTTTAGGCTCATCAAAAACATAGAATTTTAAGTA